CCTAATCCCTAGAAAGGTAATAACATTAAATGATTCTAATGTATTATTAATAATAGTTAACATCATAATCTGTATCACTATCTACATTAAGTGTGCAATGTGCTTTCTGCAAACTATGCCTCCAATCAGTATTGAACAGTTTTTTGTTTTACAAAATCTCAGTGGATGTGTACACCTGTTTAAAGAGTTTCCACTGTCAGAGCAAAATTACATGTTGTACTATTAATTTGTGCTCAAATTTTAGTGTCTATGCGGTACACACTAGTTTGTAAATTTGCCCAAATAAGTTCTATATACATGTAGCCTGTCAATAGACTTATAAAAAGCCACAAAAATCTACAACTGAACAAAATTGAGAAATTTAGTTCTGTTTGACATTGCCAAAAACACGTAAATTATATTGTGGTTCTTAAGTAACAAGAGAAGAACAGACTTTTAAAAACAGAACTTCACTGGCTTGACCACAAGACATGTTGTAAATGTAAAGTCCATATAAGAAAATGGAAATAGATATACCAACACTCACAAAAAAAGCCTCAATACAAAACAGTTTAAAAAATGATTGTAAACCACAGAAATCTCCATAAAAGTCTTCAATATTTTTTTTATATCACAACCATTTAAAGAGAAAGTAAAGAGGTTGGACACATGACTGTGAACATCCTTACAACTTCACAAAGTGTCACCTTTAAGGACTGTTCTTCAGTAGCAGTCTTGACATTTAGAAAATGGGAAACGGTTTTGTTGCTTGAAGGTAATATTATTCAGTCACCTGAAAAAAGTAACAATTAAAAAAAGAATTTAAAACAGAAAAAGGATTAAGTTACACTAACTTGATAACAGACTGACCTTCCTCATAGGTGATGTCCGTGTCCTGATCCAATATGTCTCTACAACTTGAGAGGGAGGTTTGTTTCTTGAGCTGTGAAAAGTATTTTAGTTACAAATAAGAAAACCTTATCCATACTCACATGTTCCTCAGGAGACTATTACAAAAGCTAACTCACCTGATTTTTCCGTCGCTGTGGTGGTGAGCGCTGATTCCATAGGGCCTCTAACTGATCGAAATGTTGGGACTGAGCCAGTGCCGCCTGTTCAGGACCACCCATTCCAGGAGCCGGCTGAAACACCAGACGGTCACTGAATGCAATGCAGCTCCGGAGGTCTACCTTAGTCTCTTCCAGTATTTCCTACTCACCGCTGCCGCCTTGCACTTGGAGATCTCCTCCATTGAGGCGGAGACGGAGAAGCGTCTCTTGAGTCGTTCGTCCACGGCGGCCATCATGATGGAGGACGTGAGCTGGCCGTACTTCTTCTGCCACGTGTACGTGTCCAGAGACACCTCCTTCTTCAGCAGGCGCCTCCCCGCTCGCTTAGGTGGAGGCGGTCGCAGGTCTGCGGACAGAGCGGGCCGCAATGTTTAGCTAGCGGGTCGCAGTTGCAGGGGGAAGCGGCAGGGGCTGGGTAGGCCAGCCCGCAGCGCCAGGCCGTGCGACGGGTGCGACTATCCCCCGCGCCGCAGGCGCTCTGCGCGCTCGGTGGCGAAGCGGCGGGCAAAGCATCGTCTACGTACCTTCCACCTCCTTGGGCGCGACGTAGGCAGGGAGGGTGACGTAAGAGGCGGGCGTGTTGTGGAGGAACACGATGAGGAGAGACCGGGAATCGAGCAGCTGCACGCCGATCCTGGATGCATCCGAGGCCATGGCCAGGCCCAGAATGGGCTGGTGGAGCACCAGGGCTGTGAGTGGCGTGCCCTTGCCGATGTCCCACACCATGATGGTCCGATCCTCGGAACCTGTGCGGCAAGATTAGGATGAGTGAAAGTGAAGAAACACAGACACTAGGCGGGCACCGAAGCAGCAAGCAGGGGGGAGCTGAGGTCGAACCTGACACGGCGAGAGTGCCGTCCCCAGAAACGCGCACGCAGGTGACGCAGCCCAGGTGGCCGCTCAGGGTGTGCACGTCGTTGCCCGTGTTGATGTCCCAGCAGATGAGGTTGGCGTCCTTGGAGCCGGACACGACGAGCGCCTTGTTGGTCACGGCCACGGCCACGCACGTCACGTCGTCAGTGTGCCCGACCAGGACCTGGGCGAGCTTGCCGCCGGCCAGCTGCCACACCTTGAGCGAGGTGTCCCTCGAGCCGGTGATGAGGTGCAGCGAGTCCGCGCTCAGCGCCATGCAGGTAACGTCCTGCGAGTGGCTCACCGTGAAGCGCTCGTCCTCGCGAGCCAGCGACCAGATGCGTAGGCTGCGGGCACAGGACAACAGGGCGTCACGGGGGCCACCACCAACCACCACGAAGTGAAGGCGGCGCCATACCAACCTGGTGTCGTCCACGCCGGACACGGCATACTTCATGTCGTGGGTGACGGCGATGCTGGAGCCCGGGCCGGAGCACGTCTGCAGCAGCGAGGCGTCGTCCGCCACCCACACGGCCAGCAGCCCCGCGCGGTCGCCGGACACGACCCGCCGCGAGTCGGCCAGCACGCACACCGACGTGACCGCGCTCTGGTGTCCCTGGGGGCAGAGCAGGACGCCGTGCTCAGGCTTGGCCGCTCACCGCGCGCGCGTATACCCGAGCCCGGATCGAGTCGAGGTCCTTACCTTGAACGTGGCCACGCACTGGCCCAGGGTGAGCCCCCACACGCGCACCGTCTTGTCCTCGGAGCCGGAGATGCAGAACAGGCCGTTGGGGGCGAACGACACGGCCGTGACGGACGCGATGTGGCCCTCCAGCGTGGCGTGCAGCTCGGGTGGGCTGAGCAGCCAGATGTTGACGAGGCTGTCGACCGAGCCGGTGACGGCGGTGGTGCCGTCCCTGCTGATCTCCAGGCACGTGATGGGCGCCGTGTGCACCTGGCTGTTCCTCGACATCTTCCTGGCGTGGCGCGCGGCCACGGGCCCCAGCGAGACGGCCACCTCGGCCACACCGGGGATGCCGGCCACGCCCGCCGCGGCCGACGCCTCGTCGCGCCGGAAGCTCCACAGCGTGACCACGTTGCCGCCCGCCGTGAGCAGGAAGTCGTCCCTCTCCGTGCAGCACACACCCGTCACCGCCGAGGTGTGGGTGTCGAGCGTCCGCTCCAGGCGCCCGGAGTGCAGGTCGAACACGTACACCTTGCCGTCCTCGCCGCCCAGGACGGCGCGCCGGTTGTCCGAGGCCAGACACAGCGACCGGGCCTGCGCGTGTGGGTAGAAAAGAAGAGAGTGAGTTGTCAGTGCGCTCGTCGGCGACTGAGTCCGGCGGGGTCCCCGCGACCCCGACGCGCGTCCATACCTTAGCGCGGTGGCCGCGCAGGGCGTGGATCTCCGTGCCCGTGGCGGTGGAGTGCAGCACCAGCTCGTTGCTGTTGAGGACGACGAGGAGGAACACCGAGTCCGGTGAGAGCCCGATGAGCGACACGCCCGTGGCCACCTGGATCATGTTGAGCATCTGGCACGTGTCCAGGGCCCACAGGCACACCGTCTGGTCCGAGGAGCCTGCGGCCAAAGAGGACGGCGTGTGAGGCGAGGACGGGGCCGCGGTGTACGGGGTGCTGGCGGGCTGCCAGCGGCGCCGACAGCCAGGCGATGAGCACGGACTCACCAGACACGAGCACGTCGCCGTACGAGTTGATCTTGAGGGCGGTGACCGGGCCGCGGTGGTGGTCGATCTTCATCACCCTGCGCCCCGTGTTCATGTTGGCCACGACGATGCTCGAGTCCTCGCCGCCGCTGACCACGACGGAGCCGCCCAGCGCGGGGGTGATGCACATGACGGGCGCGATGTGCTCGCTGGCGAAAGGAGGAGGAGAAGACGGTCACGACCAAGGGCTAGACGAGGCAGGGGCAGGCAGCGCGGACAGGGGTTCTACTCACTGGATCTTGGTGAGGATCTCGTACGTCTTGAGGCTCCAGACGATGACGTGGAGGTCGCTGGAGCCCGTGATGAGCTGCGTCTGCGTCGTGTGCATGCAGGTGACGGGCGCCTGGTGGCCCTTGAAGGTGGTGACGAGCGCGTTGCTCATGATGTGCCACATCTGGGGGTCGATGGACGCGCCGGCCGGCACCACGATCACGTGCTGGCCGCACGGGGTGGGCTCCACGAGGCGCACGCTGTGGCTGCACACCATGCCTGCGGGGGAGGAAGGCGAGAGGACCGCGTTATGGAGAGGCAGGCCGGGAGAGGGCGGACAGCGTTTAAAAGGTGGAATCAAATAGGAAGCACACTCACTTCTGATCTGCAGAGGGAGAGGGGCCTGCAGCCATCCGGTGAGCGGCACGAGCAGCGGGCCGTTGTAGCCGTCGCACCACGCCATGGAGGCGGACAGCAGGCGCGACACCAGGTCGGGCAGCGGCTGCGGCTGCGAGTCCCGGTCCATCTTGTGCTCCTGCACGCAGAGGAGAAACAAGAGGGTTAGGGTTGGCGGTCAGTGCCATGCATAAGATTCAACCAAAAGCGCAATATTTTGCTTTATCTAATTAATTTCAGTGTCGTTATGTCATTATTAACATTTTCATGTACCGCAAAAACAATTAATTCATGTGTTGAACCATATGCGTCATAAGTTACCTGGTGGGAAGGGCCGGCGGGCCGCAGCCAGCACACGAGCTGCGCGGCCAGCTGCAGAGGGTCCCGCACCAGGACGTCGCCGGCCTTGCGCAGCGTGTAGTAGACGAGCTCGAGCGCGCGGTCCAGCAGGTAGCAGCGGGCGTGCTCCAGGACGCAGCGCAGGTAGCCGACGGACACGGTCTGCACCGCGGCCAGCAGGAAGTCGAAGCTGCACACCGTGTGCCGCAGCAGGTGTGTGTGGTCGCCCGCACCTAGCAGGTGCAGCCAGGCCTCCTCCACGTGACGCAGGCTGTACGACACGTCGCACGGGGTGTCTGCGGGGACAAAGTGTCAGCAGTCAGCAAGCAGCGTTGTTGCGTTGAAGAGAGTGCGAGAAAGGGAGTGGCAGGGGACGGGGGACACTTACCCTGGCTGTCCTTGTCACTGTCGCTGTCGTCGTCCTTGTCTTGATTCAGCTGCTGCTGGTGCTGGATGAGCTGCTGCATTCTCCGCGCCTCGGCCCGCCGCTCGCCCGCGCGCTCGGCGGCCTCCACCGCCTCCTCGTCCTCCTCCTCCTCGCGGATGAGATCCGTGTCGTCCTCCTCCTCCTCTTCCTCCTTGATGATCTCCCGGTCGAGCGGATCCTCCTGCGAATGCAAAGTCTACAGTGGTGGCGTGTCTGGCCTGACCCGAAGCCCAGCCGTGACACCTCATTCCGGCTGCTGACCTGGATGACCTGCGGGGTGCTCGTGCGTCTCCGGTCCTCGGCCGCCATGTTGTCGTTGTCCCCCTCCGCCAGGTCGGCGATGTCACCCTCGGCGATGAACTCGCTGAAGAAGAGGCTGGCGATGGCGGCGTGCGCGGCCTGCAGCGAGTCCCGGTCGCCCAAGTAGCGCTGCTTGCACAGTTGCCGCATGGACTGGTGTCGCCATGTGAGCAGCACCTTGCCGGACATCACTTTCGACAGCAGCAGATAGCCTGCGGAGGGAAATTTGTATTTAATTTTTATTGCGAGCAAGGGTTATTGCAGTGTAGACAGACAGGTAGGCAAAAATTACCAACGGTACACATGTGAGGAGAATTAATTCAAAAAGTAGGCATGCGTCGCTACAGCCCACCTCACACTGGAGTAATGTTTTGCCTACTTAAATATGTCTAGCAGCATGGTGCATGCGTGGTGCCGCAGCAAACTCACCCATGCTGCGCCGCACCCTGCAGAAGGTGGAGAAGTTGAAGTGGCCCTGCTCGAGGAGCAGCGGCGCGGGCGAGGACTGCGCCGTGGGCATGAGCAGCTCGAGCAGCTCCGTCTCGCTGAGGCCGTACTCGGTGCAGGCGAGGTAGCCGGCCAGGCGGCCCACGGCCACGCGGCCCCACTGCGACTCGAGGCGCACCAGCTCCTGCTGCGCGTGGCGCTCGAGGCCCGGCTCGGCGGGCGGCGGCAGCATCACGAGGCACTCGGCGCTGCGCAGGCGCTCGCGCTGCGCGGGCGTGAGCCGCAGCGCGTCCGGGCCCGCGGCGCTCGTGGCCACCAGGTGGATGTTGCGCGGCAGCTGCATCGGCAGCCACGACAGCGCGGGCGGCCCTTGCTCCTGGTCCAGCGGGTTGACGCGCGGCAGGTCGTCCAGCAGCACCAGCATCGTCTCGCCGCTCTCCTCGACGCGCTTCATCAGCCGCTCGAACCAGGCCTGCACGTACGGCTGCTCCAGCGAGGCGTCCTTGGTGATGATGGACTGCTTGGTGAGCACGGCGAAGTGCTGGCACAGCAGCCGCACCAGCTCCAGCGCGTACGAGGCCCGCGGCGTCGCACCTGCGCTCACCACAAAGCGCGCCGGCCGGTGAGCGGGGGCGGGGGAGGCCGTGCAGCGGACCAAAGTTTCAAACCTAGTTTCGGCCCGCAGGACGGCCGAGGCCCGGCCGGCCGAGGCCCTCATCAATTATTCCCGCGCCGGCCACACGCTGGAGGGCCGGCCAGCAAGCTGGGCCCCGCCGGCCTCGGCCTCGACCCGGCCAGACCCGGCCTCGCCCGCCACATCACACATCTTGCGCCACATAAATCATGCACGGCGCCGTTCATCTCTATGCATCATGCGGGGCG